ACGTGGGGTCAGCAGTTGCGATCGAAAGAATATTTTATCTGAATAAGAATGGAATATATATATGTGATAAGGGAGCGGTCGCAATCTCAGATGTAAGCTGGTGGCCAAGCGGCACTCACCTCCTTCTTAACACGAAGCCTTTTCTTTCCCACAACACCACTACAACCACGACTCCCTCTTCTCCCCCCGCATACCAATGACCCCCGCGTCCATTCCCTGTACCTCTTCAGAAGATAACTTCACTCACGGTCTCGACTATCCCCCAGACTTTTTATCTTCTCTCCCTGTACTTCTTCCCCGTCCTGCGCCGCATACACCCATCCGCGCACTTTCTGCGTCTCAGTTCGCATCCCTTCATCATGCTGCTACTGCCTCACACGCACCGGATCATGTCCTGTTCCCCTTCCTTCATGGCCTCGAGGGTGAAAACGAGCAACAGAAGGCCTTTTTCTCTGTCACTTCTGACACCACCGTAATCCCACCTCGTTTCCGTGGACTCATTTGGGTCGCTTGTGAAGACGACGATACCCCTTCTAGTGAAGATGGTGACGACTCGGACGCCGTTGCTAGCGACGACTCTGATGATGAGCATGGTAGTGATGGAGAAGACGTTGGTCATTCCTTCGAGCTGGACATTGACATGGACATAGATACCGAACTCGACCTCGATCAGACCCACAAGCAAGGGCCGCTAAGCTCCCCGCATTCTCCTTCACCCTCCAGCCCCTCACCTAAACCCACCGACCTCACCTGCGACACCTCAGACCTAGACACTGCACCCCATATGCATCCTGTACAATGCCGTGCACCACGCATATATACCAATACGACAACAGCTCGCGACCGCAGTGCCTCGGTCTCTTCTAGCTCGTCTTCGTCTTCTCGATCCCTTCATGTTCCCTCGCCATCCACTCCAGCGACTTCTCTCGACTCGCCTACTCCATCATGTATGCCTCTTGGACCTCCCTCCCCCGAACCTCGACCTCGAACTGCTCCTCTCATTGTCTCTGGCTTCAAGCTCCGGGAGCTTTTACATTTCAACGCAGAAGGGAACGCGGAGTTCATCCCTCTACGCGTCCCTGATGGCATTTCGCTGCGCAATTTTGATATCCAAGTGGTATGTGTTCCCCCCAAGTTATTTCGCCATGCCCTTGTTCCCATGTCATTCATTTCCGTTGTTTCCAATCCAATCCTTATCCTGCTCTTGATTTATCGTCGGGTTCTATATGGGCGCCTGCGTTACCCCGAACTGTCAGATGATCACTGCGGGGAAGTGCTTGTTGTTTCAGAGCCATCGTTGACATGCATTTGCATGATGGCAAACCCAATTTGGGCGGTCATTCATTCCGCGCGCCATTTCCCAATTGGGCACCAAGAATGCGCTCCACTTGACCCCTGACCTTGGGCGACGATCGGTTTAGTGTTTCCGGTGGAGCGGCTTACTCTTCCCTTTTCCCCTCAACCCAATTTCGTTTTCCAATTTCTAAATTTGTTCCTTGCCAACTCCTTTCCGCTTTTACTCACTTTCGTCGTAGCCAATCTATGCAACGCTTTCGGACATTGTCGTCTATTCCCGCCGAGGCGCAACACGGGCTGCCTTTGCCGTCGCAGAGAAGTTCAAACAAGCTATCGAAGCCCGCGCTGGTTCTCGAATTCCATATAACGTCTTCGTACTCGATGCTACTCCCGCGGAGTTACGTGGCAGGCTCAAGCATCTCCTAGTCGGACCCAATACCATCAACTTCGCACAGCGCGAGAAAGATGAGATGCGAGAGCTAACACGAGCTAGTGAGATTCTCACTGTCCCGTCCCCTGGTCAAGAAGGGGACAAGTCGCAGGACATCCATTCCTGGATACCTGGCTTGGGCCAAGTTTTCCTCGGAAACGTCAACGATGTCCCGTTCTATACTGGCAACCCTTCTGACCCTCCTCTCCGAGGCATCGATCTACTTGACAGCACCGGAAACTCGCCGGCAGACGGGATGGGTTACGACATCTGTATCGAGTGTCGACTTCGGGCACCACGGCCTACCCTAGGCTTTCTCCTTAGTGCCCAGGAACACTTGATGGAACTCGAGCGGCGATGGCAGGCGACTGGCGCGAAAGGGCCAAGGCCGCCGCCCAATGCCGCGGCCATCGTCTATCTCGCGTTCCCTTTGGTGCCTGCCGTCGACGAGATGACTTTGTTCCTCGAATTTTTAGAAAAGTTGTTGAAGCCTAATTTACAGCGCAGGCTGGGCCGGCCTGCAAAGATCCTGATTTGGAGCTCGGATGGATACACTGAAAGTAGCGTGCTTGCTCTCTCGTTGATCATGGCCTTGCGTGGAATGACGCTCCCCGAGGCTTATCTCGAGCTTCAGGTAAGTCTGCGAAAGCAAGTACGGCTTTATTAGGGATTGAGCATTTATGGATCAGGTCGCAAAACAACGCAGTTTCTTTGTTTACGAAGCCGACGTTCGATTGTTAAAATCCATCGAGGGTAGACTGTCGCGTGATCGCCATGCAAAAGTGCCTTCCCCTCGTCGTTACCTCTCTGGACCCGCTCGGACCAAATCCCCCGATTCCGACATCAACTCCAGTGCAATGTCCGCATCCTACGAAGAATCGGGCAGCGCCCCCATATCGTCAATGCGACGGCCTCGTGCAAGCACAAGTCCACATTTACCATCACTTGTTGATGACCATCAGGTCTGGTTTGATGATCCTCGTTTCGATGGGAGTTTTCCAAGTCGTGTCTTACCATTCCTATACCTCGGAAACTTGTGTGTACCATTACCACATTCACGCGTCATGCCACTTACACGGTAACAGAAATCACGCGTCAAATGCTTATATGCTTCACGCCCTCGGCATCACGCACGTAGTCTCGGTTGGAGAGTGTGCACTCATTCCTCCTCCCAGCGAGTGCCCTACTGGAATGGCTGCGACGCAGGGTACGACAAAACAGTCGAGTGCTGTCGGAACGGGTTCGTCGTCTGAACGGCGGGGCAGCCTATACATCGAGGAACGCGAAGGCCGCATAAAGGTTCTCGATATCAAAGGGGTATGCGACGACGGCATCGACACACTCGAGCCCCAGCTGGCTCCGATCTGTCAGTGGATCGACCGGGCGCGCGAACAAGGCGGAAAAGTACTCGTGCATTGTCGGGTAGGCGTATCGCGCAGCGCGACCGTCACAATCGCATACGTCATGAAACACCTCGGAATCTCCCTCGTGGAGGCCTACCTCATCGTACGCTCGCGCCGTCTGAGCGTACTAATTCAGCCGAACATGCGCCTAATGTATAATCTTTGTGGTTGGGAGGTGAAGCTCGCGGCCGAGCGTGCGGCGGGCGACACGGAACGCCTGCGAACCGAACTAGCTCGTGGCGTCAATTGGCCCTACCTTGCACGCGAGGTGCACCTCCTCAATGAGAAATACCTGCATATGTGAGGAGTCCAGAAATCCACGCGGATAATCTCCTTTCCCCTCCCTCTTCTTCCCCTCCCGCCACCCATCCTCTACTTATGTTTCTGTGTCCGGTTCCTTTGTCTCGACCCCCGTCCCCGATATGTGTACCATGCGTTTAGTATTCCAGTCGCTACCTATCTCCTCTTCCACACCCCTGCATTCGCATTGCCCAAAAATTCTCCCATCCCTACCCCTCGTCTCAATACTCTCACAGCCACTCATGAGCATAATCACCCATCCCCTACTTTGGCCAGTCTCATACCGACCCCTCCCCTCTCCATGTATGACGATGATGACGACGACTACTCCCGTGTTGTACGTCTAGTGTATACTTTTTGTTACAGTATCAGCTGTACAGCATTTGTGATTACGCGTCGTAGTTCGATAAGTGGCTACTCGCACTGAAAATCTCGAATTTAATAAGCCAATTCTTCGAATTGGATAGTGTCAGTAGATGCGAGTTGCCGCCGTTCGCAACAGCGTCATTCATAGCCACTATCACACTCAGATCCGTGTCAAAACGATGAGCTCTACGACACCAGTGTCACTGAGCACGTCCCCAGAACGCACTGCGGAGCTGCACGCCTCTCTAGGCGACATCCGGGCTCGCATCGCCGCCACTATATCTGCTAGGAACCTCCCCGGACTCACACCGAAACTCGTAGCAGTGTCCAAGTACAAGCCTGCGTCAGACATACGTGCATGTTACGACGCAGGGCAGCGCGACTTTGGCGAGAACTACGTTCAGGAGCTCATCGACAAAGCAGCTGCGCTGCCGCGCGACCTGCGGTGGCATTTTATCGGCACCGTGCAGTCGAACAAAGCCAAAGCACTGGCCGGTGAGCCTTTCCTATCTTTCCCTTTGGGGGAGGGACAGAACACTGATCGACTGGCAGGCATAGAGAACTTGTACGCCGTGCAGACGCTCTCGAGCACGAAAGTCGCCGACGCGCTGAACAAACACCGCGCCGCTGCGCACGCCCCACTGCGCGTGCTCGTGCAGATCAATACATCCGGGGAGGCCGCGAAGGGCGGGGTATCGCCGGGGCCAGATGCGGACGAGGGGGATGGAGGCGGGATGGTACAGCTTGCGACGCACGTCGTCCGCGCGTGCCCGCGCTTGCACCTCGTCGGGCTGATGACGATAGGCGCGGCTGGCGCTGGCGATCGCGACTTTGCGGTGCTTAGGGAGGCGCGCGATCAGTTGGTGCGCGCGTTGCCGGCTGATGGGGTGTGGGGCGAGGACGCAGAGGTGGGGGAGGACGTGGGGGGTGCAGCAGGGAGGAGGTTACTGTTGAGTATGGGCATGTCGGACGACTTTGAGTTGGCACTGGGTGCTGGTTCGGATATCGTTCGTGTTGGGACGGGTATCTTTGGTGCGCGGCCGCAGAAGAAGGGAGGGCCTGACGCTTCTGCCGAGCAGTCGTAGGAACTTATACTGCCAATGATGCCCTTGTCACTCAGTTGACCGATGTGTGCCCCATAGCTATTCTGTATCCTACAATGCATTTGATACCTGTCTGTGGCATGATACGAAAATGAAAAAGAATGCCAGGACCGTGGATTGAACACGGGACCTCCAGAATGCATGCGCTTCAGTCTGTTGCTCTCCCAGCTGAGCTACCCCGGCATGCAAACAAAGCGCCTCCAGTAACTCATGCCAGGACTGCACCACCACGAACCTAATTCAGCGCGTGGTACCGGTTTCCCGGTCTGACGCTTCGACGTCGCCCGAGCGCGGCGTGTACTGGCCTTTGATCTCGTGAATATGAGGAAGCATGCCGAACTCAACACGAACCAAGCCAGGCTACTAGTAGCCACTCTCATGTCATTTCCCTCAATATGCCATGCCCCAATCCGCGATCGAGAATGGTCGCTGAAAGTGTAACTCGTTAGGGAAGGCTGCGGCGACAAGTCAGGTAATGTGTTTACCGTATACGTAGGAGGAAAGATAATTAGGTTGAAGACTTCAAGTTAACAGAAATACCATCCTTAGGCCGCACGGCAAGTCCTGGTGGAGCTCGTACATTGGTTTGGTTCGTGTCCTCGATGAGAATATTTAGAAGAAACTACCTGAAACCTACTCTTAGTATGGCTATGAGGCTCCAACAATTAACTTGGGGAGATCTGGCGATGTTCGTACCTTCGGTCTTTCTGCCCGCTTATCCATTTTCATAAGGTTTCGCCGTCTGCAGGCCTTACATACAGAATGCTCCCCTTGGCTCCGACCATACAATTATTAGGGGCGCACCTATACGACTCGTGTATGAAGTGCTATCTCTCCATGCTGTGGCGTTTCTGCACTCTTCCATACCCCCGCGGTCCTGTTCGTTCCGCTGGGGCTGTATCACCTGCCAGCGTGATATGAGTCCGCTAGTCGCTGGTTTATTCATGCCACTATCACATCCTCATTTCCGGCTGATGGCCTCGCTCTCTCCCCCCCCCAGCTACCGCATGTCTTCTGATGTTCAATTCGTTTGGAGTCTAGCTTGTTTCTCCCCCAATTTCTAGTACACATGACATTCCTCAGGACTGGCTTACCTTGGGGGCCCTTGTTTCCGTCGGATGTCTAAACATGGCTAACAGCCGACAGATACCGAGGTCATTGATCCATCAACTTGGAGTCGCGGAGCCACGGAGATGAAACTTTTCCAAATTCCTCGAGATCACGTTGCGTTTCGCTTCATTTTACGTGGAGCCGTCCGTGCTTTGTCCATTGAATGTATACATTCCCCGCCAACGCCTTTTCTTGCAGGTCGAGATCCGTCTATAGCAAATCACCGACTTTGACCCCCAGGTCTGGGCTCTTCGGCTGCCCTGCGTGCTGTGAGCCTTTTGGTCTGCCTGGGCTCTCGGTAGCCCGTTTTCCAAACAAGCGTCCCAATAAAGCAGGTTGTGGCTATAGTACCCTATCGGAAAGGCACCAGAGATCTTCGCCCGTCGTCAAGTCATTTGCGTCTTGCGCCAGCGCGCTCGCCTACAAATAGACTCGGAGCCTTGTTTCTGCTGCCCGTGTTGGGTCCACTACCGTAATAAATACTTCGCAACAATCTCTGGCTATTGAGCTTGTTTTGCTAATCGGGTCCAGCATCGGTATTTCTCCGTTCTAAGCTGGAACAGTGGAACGAAATAACTCGATACAGCAGGGGAAATGTGAAAGTTTACTACGTTATTTTGCGGCAATCGCCGCCTTCATTGGTTCTCGATGCGATGAGAAAAGTGATGACCGTGATAGTCTCACCCTATGTACCACGCCCCGCCAACGTGGCCATCTCACATTATCCTTTCAGAACAACGTTTTCCCCTCATTTTCCCACCTACTTCAACCAGCTGTTGCCCTCGTCGATGTGTCCTTACTGCCCCCCCTCTCCTACCCCAGAGCTTGAGGCTCTAACCCACAAAGTTCCGCTAACGTATTTTTTACCGATTGGACGCCATGTCTTCTGAGCTGTACCAAGACTCTGGCGCGCACCGCATCAAGCGCAAGCCACCACCACCATTTCCGTACTCAGCGCGCTACCCCGAACCCGACCCAACCGACCCTTTTGCCTCGCTTTCCGTCCTCCGTGATCGTACCGCGACCCTCACAAACTCAGCGTACGAGTCTCCCATTGCTATGATTCAGGACCCAGCATCTGGGACCTCCAAGGTACATGATCTTGCAACCTTCATTGTGCACCAGCGAAAGAGGGCAACTGCCCCGAGTCTCCAGTTTGGAGAGAACCGCTGGTTAGGGCATGCGTCCCAGCTACGCAAAGGGGCTTCTTTGGGCCTTGGACTGCACGAAAACTCGTCAAGCGAAGCCCCTACGACGAATGCGATCGCTTCACGCCCAGGTGCGAGAGAGACACGGCGACGCGAATCGCGGCGGCGCTCACAATCGGTGTTTGCGCTGCGCTCGGGCGCGTTTTCCTTCTTGGAATCGCGGGGCGCTCTAGAACCCCAGTCCAACGTGGACTCGCCTGTCAGCAGGCGGCACTCGCTGCTGCCGTACGACAGCAGTACGAGTGTGCTTACATCGTCTTCGAATTCATCGGGGGAGTCTACACATGGAGTACGGCAGGCAGTAAGGCCCCCGTACGACCGCGCTCATGCAGCAGTTCGTTTGTATCCGCAGCCTTGCTTGATGGTGTTCCAGAGCTCTCAAGCGACGCAGTGCCGGTGCACAAGAGCATGCACGTCATGCAAGTTGACCTGCCTGCGCCTCAGGTTGTAGAGGAACGCCCAGAATGCCCTCCTTCGCGTACCCTCTCTCCTCCACCCCTCGAGAAACGTACTCCATCAGAATCCTCGATTAGCTCTTGGTCCCGCGACTTGGCGTTTTACTCTGCTACTTCACGCCCTCAGACCCCCAGTCAATTCAGAGCAGCCGTCCCACTCCTTGCCGGCATCTGTCGCTCTCACACTTCCTTTTTCACCGTCGCCCTCCCGTCTGCATCGCCGCCACTCTTCACCTCTCCACCCCAGACATCTGCTCACCAAAATGCTCCGGCCGCCGCACCTCTCTTCCACCCAGTATCTCGAACTCCCGTCGTGTATCCACGCCACCGGAAAACCTAGATGCCTTACCTCTGCAGCTGAACTTCCGTTTCCCAAAGCAGCAGCAATGTGTCGAATCAGAGCCTGAGTCTGTCGAGCGTGAGAACGGGCGCTTCGCCCGGATACGTGCACTTACATCAACGGGATCTCAAGCGCAAAGAATCAGCGCTTCGCGTCGCTGCGCAGCACACTGCAGGCTGCTGCAGATGCTGCAGACAGGCTTGCTTCTCAAGAGCTTCTATTCACGCACTCCCTCCGGCCTCCACTCCTGCAGTCACGCAAGCACAGGCCATCGTGGCCGAGAACTTAGTGACGTCACCCGTTGCCGAGACTGCTCCTGAATGGAAGGAACGCGAGGCGGACCAACGCGCACAAGTGCAGCCAGAGAGC